CAATCTTATGGGTCAGGCTCTCAGCCCTCTTCCTCTTCCCACTCTGAGTCTTCTTCTCCTCCTGTTACCCCTTTAATTCGCCGTCCCTCTCACCAATCTAGCTCCCAGGCCCAGGAAATAGTTGCCCAGGAGCCTGTTCCTTTGAACCAACTGCCCGGTCGGTTCAATCCCAAGATCCTCAGCTGGGACCAGTGGGAAGAACGACTGGGATCCTTGGGCTTTCTAGCCCTTGATGTCAGACCGGTGTTCAAAGAGTCCTCTAGGGTTACAAAAAAGGTCCTGGCCGAGGTGCGCTCCGTCCTTCCCCCGGGCTATAAAGTCCTTTCTAACACCACCTGGCCCAACATCATAGAACCCCACCAAAGAAACCGGTTGGGGTTTCACATTGCTTCGCTAGAGGGGGGCATTATCTTTCCCCTTCGTCCCCTCCTCGTAGAAATCTGTAATAAGTTCAAGATTTTGCCCGGCCAGCTTACTCCAAATGCTCACCGGTTCTTGAATTGTTTTGTAAATATCTGTGAAAATTTGAAAATCAACCCTTCCCTTGAGCTTTTCCTCCATATGTACGAAGTTCTGCCCGGGACTAGTAATTGCCCGGGCTTTGTTTATTTTCATTCTCGTAATAAGAGGAGTTTTGTGACCGGTCTTCCCCCTAGCCACAAAAGATGGAAGAAAAGATTTGTTTTTGTTGAATTCCCCCCTGACCAATTTCCTTTCTCTAACCCTGAGTGGGCTGACCGGGTTATAAAACCTGAAAGGGTTCATCCGGAGCCCACTAAAGATCTTGAGGACGCCTGCGAGAAACTTCTCAAGGGTGATCCTGTGACCAGGAAACCTTATGCCTATGGAGGCTGGGTATTCCGGTTACCTAACCAGGATGGGGACGTGTTTGCGACCCATGACGCAGGAGATGACCGGGCTGATTCCCCAGATGGTCATGCTGAGGCCGGCTCTCCTCATCCAGGTTGGTTAATTTTCCTCAATTTTTTGGTTTCACTTTCTTTTTGATAAGGTGCAAAAAGTGACCGGTCACTTTTTGCTTTTGTTCTCTTTGGCAGACATGGACTTCAACAGGATGACCACCATCATCGAAGATGATGACGATGATGTCGAAGTCCTCAACTCTCACCGGTCTCCCAATCGCAACCCTCCCTCCCCTCCTCAAAACATTGGAGTTGAAGGGGCCTCAATTGCTCGGTGCTCTTCTTTTGACGATCTCATTCGAGACAAACAGGTGAAGTCACCCTCAGCCCTCCATTTCTCCGAAGGCGACCGGGTTGAATCCAAGCCCAAGGAGGCCAGCCATTCTTCTTCCCGTGCTAAGGGCCAGAAAAGGAAGGGCTCCCATAAGAGTTCCAAAGGGGGCAAGAAGAAGAAGACCGGGTCGCTTGACTTGGAAGGGGAGTCGGTAGAAGAAGCCTTCCTTGCATTGACCAGAAGACTCCAAAAGGTTCGCCATCTCTATTTTTTCGCCCGGTTTAATTATTAGCCCGGTCTCTAACTGACAAACTTCTTTTCCAGGTTGGAGTCCTATCTGAAGAGATTGGCCAGTCACTCATCGAGCCAACCAACCAGGTCTCCCAACTGAATCTCCTGCTTGACTCGGCCAAATCAGAAATAAATGACCTGGTCGAGAGGGAGAGAAAGTTAGAAGTAGAGCTGAGGGCTGAGAGGGCTTTGTTGGAGGAGGAGAGGGCCAGATCTACCCGGTTGGAGGAGGAAGGCAAGAGAAAGGTCGCTGAGCTCGAAGAGGCGTTGGCTCAAGCTGAAGAAACTGCCCGGTCAAAAGAGGAGGCCTTCCCTGATGATGCTGCGATTTGGGCCGCCTGCCATCACACTGAAGTCGCCCGGTCCATTCTCACCAATCCGGAGGATACCATGGATTTTTTCAAAGTCATGTA